GTAATTATCACTTTTGGGCTCTATTTCTGTGTCGAATTTATGAACGCTGTGTTCTGAGGGGATGTCTTCAAAGTTCGAAAAGTATCATGTAAATCAAGCTCTATTTATTTCTCTGCATTCTCGAGACAACGTGCTACTTAATCGTCATAAATTTTTTTACTCATTTTGTTTCAATATTGTAAAAACCTGTTAATAAGATGTTAGGTGATGATAAATTAAAGCATGCGTAACTAACACCCTGGGGTAATTTTCCACCCCACCTACCTGTACAAGCCAAACAGATGTTTTTTTTCACATCCCGCGTCTACGAGCTTAAAGCGCACACACTGCATTGAGAATACACAAAATGACATTGCACTAGCTTCGGTAGAAAAAAAGATATGTCAATATTTATGCGCCTGGGGTAAAAAATTACCCCACGGTGTTACTTAAGGGTTAAACATAACCCACTTTTTGTAAGCTCGTTCTGCATTTGATTATATTAACCTTTAAAGTCCCAGACGGCATACATTAATGCCATAACAATTGATTATCTATTGTGTCTAGATTCGCGGGCCTTGAAGGATTAATCAATATTCGTCGTTAATTAAGTTAATTTTTCGCTTACTCAAATTCATACCGCTCAAGTTATTAAAACAGTAAGTATGCCATCATCAGTCGCTAAGTTATTTTTTAGTCGATCGTGTTATAATTTCCCATTAAGAATTACTCATTGTTTTATTCCTTAAACCAACATCTACCAGCTGACAGAGGTAAAACCTAGCATATACTGAATTCGAATGGTAAAAGCTCGAAAAAATCGTCGTATTTTCAGAAATACTTACATTTACCAACTCATGTCGGTAAATCCTAAGACTTACACTTAAATCTTAAGATTAACCGTAGTTCGAGCTTTTACAGTAACATATATAGCCTATAGCCTTCCTCGATAAATGGGCTATCTAATACTGAATGAATTTTTCAAATCAGACCGGTAGTTCCTGACATTAGCGCGTTCAAGTAAACAAACAAACAAACTCTTCAGCTTTATAATATTAGTATAGACTTTTCCTCAATTCTCAATATCTAAATATAATATATAACTCAAAGGCTGAAATTTGGCATGCAGGTAGATGTTACGACGTAGGCATCAGCTAAGAAAGGATTTTACGAAACTCCACCCCTAATGGGGTAAAACGGGATCCACGCGTATGAATGAAGTCGCGCCTGGCCGCTAGTTTTTACATAAAGCTAACATACTAGTTAACATAAATGACCCAGCCAATTGATTGAAACGCCATCGAAGATGACCATTACTCCGCACACTAAAGACATGGCCCTCTGGGTCCATTTGTGTAATTAATAGCACCGCCTTTCGATTTAACGGCAGCTCGTAATTGCTAATCCCATTCTATCTGGAGACTTTGTTTATTATGATTGGATTGTCATCAGAGCTCTTCAAAAACAAAGTGGATTGTTTTTGAATTAACTTTATAAATTATCCTGCTTTCGCCTCCGAGATTTATTTTACCATGTAGTACCCCTGTACGACAACCCAATCCGCACACAATATTCAGCGTAGTAGTATTAAAAAACAAANTATTACTACTAATTTAATACCTTAAATTACTTGCATTTGCGTATTTTTAAAGTTATACTATTGTGAATCGAGTAAATACTGTTTATTTTTTATAGTTTGTGAGAAAATAGTCTGTTATAAAAGGCTTTTCGTTGCCTATGTCGATTATAGTGCAAAAGTATAAAATTAATCTGTTATGTAAAAGCTATTATTGCTATAAATGTATGTATTGTAAATATTTCATAAAAGTAGTTTTATCGATATAATATGTGTTACACATCGGAACAACTCTATTTTGTATACTAAGGCGAATGTTACAATAGAATCGTTGGGGAACTATTTTGGTGAACTCGTACAAACAAAGAAATACGCTTGCAGGGTTTTCTGCCTCCATCAAAAAGGCGCATCTTTAAAATATCAATCAATTATTTTCCAATACTGTTTGGTTTACTTTTAGCGGATATTCGACTCTTAATGGAGAAGACGACAGCACATCACACTACATTTTCGTTGCAAAATAGCCCCTATTACAACATGTATAAGGTCCTACCACAGATCACAGAAACGAAAGGGAGATCTGACAAGGGGGCGGGGCCGGTGTCGCAGCAATATGCCCAAAAACAGAACACATTGCTCGTGACAGCAATGATGATAGCAGCGACGCACAGTGTTTTTTTTGACCCGAAAAAGTGACATTCTGTTTTTATCACTAATATCCAAAGTTTAACTTATTATTAATGTTAGACTAAAACACCCAGCTTTGGCCACGGAACCCTAAAGAAAGTGGAACTACGTAAGGTCATTGTTTGTGACAATCCTAACATTTTGGAAAAAATACTTTTTCTCGAAATTGCGGCCGAGTTAGAATATAGAAAAATTATAGGTGATAGAGTTTATTTTAAGAAATGTATCTGACCTAAGCAGAGATTCTACTTCGGCGTAGAAAAAGAGAAAAATAATAATTTCTTAAATTTAAAAAATAATCATACTGTCGTTCCTATAACTACTTTTAAATAATTATTATAGGTGCAATAATATTCGCCATACACCAACCTACCTACCAGCAATGCAAAGAGAAGCTTAGTGTGTACGTTTCTTTAAATAATAATAAAATTGTAGTTTGACCCAGTACAAAATAAATTTTCTAAAATATTTAAAAAAAAATAATCTATAGCTATTTGTCACCTGGGTGTTTTAGTCTAACATTAATAATAAGTTAAACTTTGGATATTAGTGATAAAAACAGAATGTCACTTTTTCGGGTCAAAAAAAACACTGTGCGACGTCATAATGTAAACAGTTTACATTGCTTGCGTAGTACTAAAGATTATTCGAACGTTGAGTACTGATACCGCAGTGGCTAATGAGCACATATTTTGATTACTTTGTGTGTGTTGAACTCAGCGCATTAGTTGGCATCTTTCTATATCTCTATGGGTCCTACAGTGTTTCGCTTGACGTGCCGTCGTCCGTACATCAAGCGAATGCCTTTGTTTATACAGACTTAATTATTTTGTGACATAGTTATATGTTTATTATTTAAATAACGGTAAATATATCTTATAGAACTTGCGCAGGATAAAATAGTCAACTTTATATATTTTTCGTTCTATTGGCAAATATATTGTACTTTTATTATACTGTTAGTTCATTTTAATACATAGTACAGTTTGCTTCAAGCAAAAGCTAGTGACATTGAAAAGGACTGAAAGTTTAACTTAAAGATTGCTATACTAATTAAATTGGAAATCAATACAGATTAATTTAACTCATAGTAAAATTGTTGAATAATACCATAGACAAAATTTGATGTCGTCGCAAAGACCATAGATAGACGGATTTTTTAAATAATTTGTTTATGTATTGTAATATTTTTTTAAATAATGTGTAACTCTTTTACTATTATTTTTGGTCTGGAGAGAACTTACTGATGAAAAGGTTCAAAATGAACGAAAATTACGTTTTGTTACTGAAATCACCAGCTTGCCGAAAGCAAAACGTACTTGTATTTACTTTATCTTACACTAGTATTTTGATTAATAGATTGCTAAACACGTTCTAATACAAAACTATGCTTCAATAGTTACATTTAATTTTAATACTGTTAGTGGACAAGGTTATAATTTCGTTAAACATGTTTGTACACGAGATTAAATATTACTACATTATAACAGGAATGTTTTAAATTTCAAGGTAAAGGGATTATTATACATATAGGATGAATGCAAACTACCCTAAAATGCGTCAACAAAGCCAAAATATACACATTTCTTAAAAAGAATATTAATTTTTAAATACAAATTGTCACGTTTAGCAATTTTATTACAATCAAAATGGGTTATAGTCATCAAATTGTGGAATAGTAAATTAGGTTTTATAATAGAGCCTAATTAAAGGAACTATAACATTTTTATGATACACAACAATGATTAAATATCAATACCACCTAATCACCTAAATGCCATAAAGTTAGCATAGGACTTTGTGTTGTATTCAATTGTGTTATAATTCAAGTTTGAAGAGATATTGATACTTTTCCATCGAAAAGAATGCATACTATTTACTAACACAGACTACACATCAATGTAGATAATTCTTAACGCACTCTAAACCCTTTTAATCTATCTATCCTTGTCTAATCTATACGTGTGACAGAGGCAACCGATAAACCATAGGGTTATTAAACTGCGTTTTTGATCTTCTAGTAACTACACAAATTTATGGGAACATTACATCAATTCCTTGTAATATTACCGTCTTTAAGATCACTATTTATTCGAATTAACTAAAGCTGCTAAAACAAGAACTATAATGTAATTAATTGACGTTTTAAGCTAGACAATTAATAACATTCGGAATACAATATCCATAATTCGAATCAATAATATTATTCAAAGAAGACATCTATTTGGCTCTTTAAATAACAACGCTTTTGAAAATATATTATATTCGATTATTATCTACCCTCAGAATAGGGTACGGTCAGCATCAAAAGTTGACGCACAGTTTTGACACTTATGTCGTCTCTAGAAATAAGATCTGCAAACAGTCAAAGTGCGTCTAAAACTGATGCTGACTCAACGTTTTAATGCGTGGCGGCAGCGGCCATGTTTTAGGTCACGCCTTCTTTAATGTTGCCATATTAAAAAAAACTCAATCTCAAATATTATTCCTGCAAGTTTTGCAACATTAAAATTTTAGTTTTAAGAAAGCTAAAATGCGATACAGTTATGTAAATCGCTGAGACCTCTGCTTATAAAGCTTGTGTTTCATCACTGGAGAGAACAGTTAAGTAATGAAGTGCTCATTCTGATTGATTTTCAGAACGCATTTTTTTCTCTAAACAATTTTCTACTGCAATTTCATTTACTTCAGCTACGTGTGGTGTATCCTGTTGCCATAAAATTTTCAATTACAAAGCAAAGCTTTTTCTATTTTGTCACCTGTAATTCTAATATTTGGCTGGCAACACTGTCATTAGGTGACAAGTTAAACCTACAACTTACAATTTGAACGAATACGCGACTCAAGGATAACTAAAAGAACGTACCATGTGTTTTCTACAATTTTAGCGTGTGGCAACACTACCGTTACAACGCCACGAGGCGAGTGTTACAATCGCGCCATTTTTCTTGGAGTTGCCTGTGCTCTTCGTACTGCTGTTCGGAAATATGCTTCACTGCAGCGGAGCCCTGTAAATACATACAAAATACAATTAAACTCAGTTTTTACTAAACACAGGAATTTCCTAAATATTTAGGAGTTATCTACGACAAAATGAAGTTTCAACAACAGCTAGGAAATAACTAGCATCGTTAGATACCGTTAAAAGTTTGCAATGTGACAATGAGGGCTATCGTTTTAGCGCTCACCAGTTAGCGCCACTGTAGAGTAAGGTCCTGTCACTTGCTAGTAGCGAAGACAGTGGCACCAACTGGTGAGCGCTAAAGTGGTAGGAGGACTATCGCAATTGAACTCATCAAGATGGCGCTACTGTAGAGTAAGGTCCTGTCAATCGCCAGGGGTGCCAACTGTTAAGTATAAAAACGATAGCCATCATTGACTAACACATTTTTCTTCTGAGATACAGGTATTCTATACCTAGTTCGGAAATCAGAGTTCTTTTAAAGTATCTGTATTACGTTATGATTAATAAAGAAAATTTAAAAACATTTGGTTAAACACGACGTAGAGTGACCGGGATTTTCCAAAAGTTTAACGGTGCCAATTTATTTATGCGAGCTAAGGCTAAGAACTCACAGCGCGATTGTCACCGTCACAGCGTCGTGAGTTGTGCATTAGTTTTTACATAAGTATCTGCATTTTACAGAAGCTGCGGGCCCGCAACCGCCGCGGGCGCGGGTGAAAATCGCGCCATGAGTTCTTAGCCTAAATGTATAAAATGCACAGTCATAAATAATATCAAACGTCAATCAACAGTTTGGCCAACTGCACACACTTAAAACCAATGAAAGACTATAATTACTTTAGGCCATGCTTTCAATCGAGTTTAGTGAGAACGGGTATTAGTTGCATAAAAATATCATACACCATGTACAAAAATATGATTCAGTTAGGATATAGAAACTCACCTTTATCTTCCTCGGATCTAAATTGGCGCCCAAAGTCTGCACGCCTTTAGCGAGTTTCGACAGTGGCGACAATACCATCTCCCTAGTCGCGCTCGAAACTGGACTGGCGATATTTTTCAGCTGTCTAATCGCTGACTCGCTGTGCGACTGAGCTATGTTCAGCGTGATCTCATGCTGAGAATTCGACCTGACATGAAAATTTACCCCTTCTGGCGGATCCTCGTAGTTAATATCATTCGAACTGTGGGACAGCTTTTGGGATAGTAGTAAAGTGTTAGGGGGCGCTGGTTTATACGATTCACTTTCCACTTGTATTTCGGGGGTTGTACCCATTTCTGTGTCAAAGGGGTTGAATTTGTTAACGTTGCTTGGGGTTTTGATGTTTTGTTTCTCGGTGGTGGTGGGGACGAGTTGGGTAGGGTCGAAAACTGCCTCTTTCTCTTGCGGCTCTATTTTGGAAGAGTAGAGAGGGTTCTCGATTAATTCGCAATCGTTTTCCGGTTCTGTTGCTTGGGGCTGGCTTGTTGATGTTACTTTACCTGTTGAAAAAAGATACATTAAATTAAATAAACAATAAATAAATAAATTTATTTCTGTATAAAACTTTGCCTAGATAAGTACACGTTTGGTTTCAATTAAAATTAGTGTACGGACGTAATTAATAATACCTAAACTTAGCAAAATATTTTGCCTGTATCTTAGGTATCTATTTTAAAAGTGCTTACTAAACAATATGAAAATATTAATCAGTGAAACAAGTCTCTTTTCGTGTTTCTTTTTTTTCTTGTTTTGTGTGGTCTACATTTTTACAAAAGAACCCTATTACGACTTCATAAGAATGGCGACCACAGGCTGAAAGACGTAGCGTGGGCAGGCCTCCTACTAGGTGGACCGACGATCTGGTAAAGGTCGCAGGAAGAGCCTGGATGCGGGCAGCGCAGGACCGTTCATTGTGGAAAACCTTGAGGGAGGCCTTTATCCAGCAGTGGACGTCATTTGGCTGAAACGAACGAAGCGGTCAGTATTTAGGTTGATGTGCCGTTGTACAATAAAGTTTTTATTTTTATTTTCTTGTTTGTCTTTTTTCCTCTACTCTTTTATATCTTCATCATTTTAATTTCCTTCGGGTTTTTAAACAAACTAGGTGTTTGGCATTAATAGTCACATGAAGCTAAATATTGTCACATCTTATGTACGTAATGACAGTAAGAAAATGGTAGGTAATTAATCACTTACCAATATAATGCTGACTGTTCTCAAAATTATCCAACGTGGGCTCAAAAATATTAGTCCTATTCTCATCGTCGGACGAATAATCACTGCTCATGCCATCAGACAGGCTTCCCTTCTTCTTGTCTGACTTATTCTGGCCAAGAGTGAATATTTTCTTAGTTCTAGACGCTCCCTTATCGAACTTTAGCTGGAGGCTGGGACGTGCGCGCGCGTTGAGAGAATGACTGAGTTTGTTGAGCTTGCTGAACTGCTCTGTCATGTTGTTGAAGGCTTTTGATCCTGGAAAGGTTAATGTAACGTGTGAAAAATAATAGAATAAGTGATTTTGAACTTTATATTTTTATTTATTTATCTGGTTCACCAACAGTTAATTACACCAATACAATTGTATAGAACGAGATAAGGTTGAAAATCTGAATTTTCAGCACATATTACAAGGGAGATCTTTTACATACGACTTTCTACCAGTAATGTACCATCTAGCTATGACTGACGAATAGAGATGATGAGAATATAGCTACAATAATAATTATAAATAATGCTATCTATACTCGTACTTATAGACAAAGTGATATTGAAAAAAAAAATGCGTTGGGATCTTGAAATACCGCTACTCAATGCTGTCACGAATGCTACTACTTTTACTGGTTCCTATTCTTCTATTACTGAGACCACAATCCCGGTGTCATGCTTCTGCATAACCGCAAATGAGGGCTTTTGTTTTAGGCTGGTTTTAGTGTCACGCGGACTGTCAGTGCTGATCGCTCCGCACAGCCGATCTGTATGAACTGCTAGGGAGCGGAGCGGTTCCTCCGGACCGCATTACTCTAAAACGCTCCCTAGAAGTTCGGACGCCGGATACCGGACGGTCCCCGTGACACTAAAACCAGCCTTATACTTAACAGTTGTTGTTAGCGCTCACATAGCGTGACAGTTCTTTAGTCTACAGCAGCGGTTCCCAAACTTATTTTGTCTACTGCCCACTTTGAGAATAAATTCTTTTTAGCGCCCCCATTTGTAGTCGAGAGTCGAGTGCTCAGTCGGTGTCTAAGAGTCCTCCTAGTAAATGACGCCTCCCAAGCCTCTACACAACGTCCCGATTTTTTTTCTGGGTCTCTTACCGCCCCCCTTTAAGCCTGCAGCGCCCACAAGGGGGCGTTATCACCCACTTTGGGAAAGACTGGTCTACAGTGGCACCAATCATTGCCTTAATCTACAGATCTTGAAAAGTATGTCAATTAACTACAATATCCTCTGCCCTATAACACATTAAACTGCAAATTGTCTACACTGACTAACAGTATGAGCGCGCGTCCAGCCGGTGATGTAGCGGCACTCCGTGTGCGCGCGCGGACTCAGGCGCATGATTTGCTCCAGCACCGCGCTGGTCGCCGACACGCGCGCCAGCGAGGGGTCTGGAGGGATTGAGGAGGGAAAGGAATAGACAATAGGAAGGATTGGCTCAGGCAATATGAACTAATGCTGAGCATTAATAATTATAAGCTTATTAGTTCATTCACTAGAGAGTTAGCTATTCGTGGAGGGTCACTAATATTAATCAATGATAAATTAAAATGTAAAGAGCGTAAAGATATTGTATCTCTCTCTGTTGAGCGAACTATTGAGCTGTCATGTGCAGAACTGGACGACTATGTTATTGTATGTGTATATAGACCCCCATCTAGTAACTATGAATTATTTGAAACCACAATGGAAGAGGTACTTAGAAGAGTGTGTAATAGTTCAAAGAAAGTAGTTGTATGTGGAGACTTTAATATCAATNAACTTCATTACGTATGCAACGAAGATCAGAAATGAAGTGCCATTTACCTACGATACGAACCAAAGATGCTACATAACTTTAATGTCACCTTAAACAAGAATTTCTAATACATACAAGTGATAAATTAACTTGATTTTATCAAAGTTTGACCAGTTTCACTCACTCTTAAATACAAATTATTCCATGAAATGTATAGTTGAAGCATTCTAGTTTCTTATGGCTTTTATTCCGTGTCATTTGAATCAGTTGATTCTGAATCAAAATTGGACTAAACTGACTGGATGATAGATTAGGCTCTATAATTGAATTGTGAGTTTCTTTTGAGAATGGATAGAAATCGGGCTTAACGATACCTCAGGTAATTTACCGGGCCAGTAGCTTCCTTTCGAATGAGAACTCTGAAAACCTGTGAGGTCGGGCATCGGCCTAGTTCCCGGCTGTTCCTAATCACGGGTCGTGCGTGGAGATGGAAATCAATGACGGATGCGCATGCAGCCGTCAGCCCTTCCCAGGTGCAACGCCCGCGCGCCCTACTTTCAAGGCCCGCGCCCTATTTTCCTAGCGCTGCAACTGGTTGGTTGTTTTGGTTCTATGCAAAATCTGTTTATTTGCTTTTCAGCATCCATCCAAATATATTTTATTAATTGATTAACTACGTACCTGTACTGTACATGTGAGGCAGCGAATTCAATGTTGATTTAGGATATAATAAAAACATCATTTATGTCCATTGTTTTTTGATTAGGCAACATCAAATAGATCTTTAATTTAGGGATTTCTTCTCCTTCTTCTTCTTCTTCTTCTTGTTACCTCAACTACGGCTTCTAGTCTATCTTTCTTATATGTATTGAAACTGTAACCAGTATTTTTGTGTTAACATAGAAGAAAGAGGACAGATTTCTAAATTTTTCCTGTAAGAAAATAATCCCGGATTCTTGAATCGTTCGTTTCAGCCAAATTACGTTCACTGCTGGACAAAGGTCTCCCCAAGGATTGCCACAACGATATTTCGTATAGCCCTCATGCAATTTAGAAAGCTTTGGAAAATTTATCGCATATCCCTTTGTATCTGGCTGTAGCTCCATTGGTTTCAATGCTAAGAAATCGGGAACAAATTGATTTAAAGAACACTTGACAGGCATACAACCTTTCGAACCGGGTGCGGTCACCTGTAGCGGTCCCGAGGGTCACCGGCCCACTTCGCCGCCCTACTTCCGAGCAACAAGTGACGTATGTGCGCGTTACGTAACCGGGACGTGGGCGCTCCTGGGTCCTGGCTATGATCATAAGTTAGCAGGAGGTCTTGGCCACAAAATATTGCCAGGCGCTGAAGCCGGTAAGCCAGATATATCCGCCAGGGACATTCGGGAATTGAGGTATCAGGTGCTGCAAAACAAAGAACAGCAACTGATAGATTACAAGGATCTTTGAGGCTTTCCTACTTCTTCTTCTTCTTGTCGTGTCGTCAGCCCAAAACTGCTATAAGAGTGGCGTTGTCAGTAGCATTCATTACATCTTCCTGTGTGCAGTTGTTTGAGCGCGCAGGGCACGACAACATGTGCTTCATCGACTGCTTTCCTTGAATTTACGGCTGGTTTAAAGAAATATTGCGCAATTCAATTATTTTGACGAGTGTTTAATATTTCTTGAATGCAAAACCCTTTAAAATAACCGTCACAACGAATCCATTTGGATGTTAATCTCGATCTGACTGTATTTAAATCAATATTTGTGTTTCGAAGATCTCGTTATTGGAACATCCGTTCAGCTTTTCAGATCAACAATACATCCAGCGTAACGAAATTTTAAATGTAGTCAAACAGCTAATTCAATATTGGCACGGGAAATTGCTTTCGCGAAAGCGTATTTGTAGGCGTTAAAATGTAAACCCTACAATGCTACCCTGACGTACCCCCACGCCGGTGCTTGAGATATTGTGAGATGTAGATGTAAAGCGTAGGCGAGAGCAATCAGTCTATCTGTATCCTTGGTTAAGTTGAGGATTTAAGTTGGAGCTAGGTATCAATTTTGACTGAAATGGCAAAGACAGGCTATGTATGTTTGATTTCGTTTCCTTTTCATGTACCTCGGTCTATTTTTCAGTCACAAAACTTAACGACAAACAACTAAGTATCTCAAAACGACTGGACAGTTACTTGGTGCCAAGAGATATTAAAACAAATGTCTAGGTACCTATTATAAGTTTTTTTAAATTACGGCTAATAACGCCACTCAATTTGAATACCAAAAGAAAGTCTTGTAGAGCCATTTCTGTTATTAATCTTCTTTGAGTGAAATGAGTCTTCATATTTATAATGACCGTGAAAGTTTTCGCGTTTCCTGATATAATTAGAGGCTCAGTAATAAAAAGCAATGTTGAACGGACTTTTTCACGTTTAGGCTAAAAATCTTTGCTTTTTAAAACTTTTGGCGAGCTCCCTAATGTTCTTAATTAATTTCCTTTTAAAAGGGAAATCCGACTTTGGAACTCCTTTCGGTAGGCCTATACAAGTTGCCTGATGATTGATTTCGGTTTGGCCTAAAAACAACATAGGAAAGCTTGAAATTACAAAGTTTCTTTTCGCTGTCTGTCGGTAGACTTTGGAAGATCCGTGCCAGGTAATCAGATAACAAGATTTAGATATTCCTTGTATAAAATAATACATTTAATTAGGAATCGTAGTGGGGAGTTTCATTAGGAGAAAGATGTTTGTTTTTAAACTTAAAAACCTGTAATAATAATACAGTAACAATCCCCAAAAACTTAATTAAATGACTAAAGTTGTTTACCGTCCTATCCTAATCCTCGCAGACCTTCTTTGAGCTTTGAAACGGATCACTTTTAGTTCAGACACCACTTAAATCTTTGTTAATTAAAAATGAGGGGAAATTAAACATTTTTGGATTATTAAAACTTTGTTGCCGACTTGTAGTAGTGATATCTGATGTAGATGTTTTAAAATGACACTTAATACAAGTACATAAAATGTCACAGAGTTGCTGCACACTGCTCAAATTGACGAGTTATATCGCATACTGACCTACCCTCTTCTTGACATTTGACATGCATGATGGAATAACATTACCCCGACCTATAAAGTATTCTATACATATCATTATATTGATCCTTTTTATGACTTGACCTTTTTATATGTCTCTAAATGTAAATAAAACTGTTTAATATGTAACATGGGTCCTACCCTACATAATACCTTCAGCTAATCGTGTTTATATTAGGGTACTTAGGCAAATAAGGGATCAGCTGACAAAAAATAAAGCTTTTATAAATAGCTAGTCTGGTATAAAAATACTTTTTAACCGACTTCAAAAACAAGAAGGTTCTCAATTCGGTTGTGTGTTGTAGAGATGTCGCATTTCTGTCAGCTCAGGCTGAAAATGACTGTGAATATTTTGGTGGTTCCCAAAGATTCTCTGAACCTCATTTCCCGTTGACCTTAGAGCAAATCTTCGATTTGCATAATGTAATCCAACGGAATGGTGGGCGTAATTTGGATTTATATTGTCCAAGCATTGTTGTGTTGTAAGCTGTAAAAATAATAGGTATTATGATTTCACAGTAAAAAGGTACCTACTTAATCTTAATTACGTACATCATATTAAGTATAATTTATTTTAACCTTTTTAATAAAACAAAATTACTTATTTAAGTTTTCACAAAAACTTGAAAAACTTTTATGATTCCGATTGAAATGAAGACACTTTACATATTTTTCTTACTGTACCTCCTACAGAAAACGATCTCTTCAAGTTTCCAGACCATCATCAAGATGAGGACACACCACAAGTCGTGTAAGAAAAAATGCGCATTATGGGGCCGAGTTGAATAAAAAAGTTTAGCTGATTTCAAAGTTAATGTATTTTTACAGACAGATGTATTTATTCGCTGTATATTCTTGTCCGTGACGTCATATCGTTATATGGCCTGGAAAATTCGCGTGTTTCTCCACCAATGAGCGTCAAACCGTGCCTTCATCAGATTATAAGCCGTCGCGTGATTCAGATTCGCATATTCCCGGCGTAATTTATTTCGCCTTAACGAGCTTCTTTGTTCAGATTGCTTGATTTGCTACTGTGTGTTGAAATCGATTTGAAAGGCTTCAAAATTTTCCACTTCGGCGTACTCCATGGAGTCTGTACTATTCGATCTGTCTGTGATTGGAGCCGCAAAGAAATGAATTGAAATAAATAGGAGCAAAGATTCAAGAGTTTTTCTTAAATCGCCGAAAGCTCTACGCCCACTGTTCACGATAATCGATTGTAAAGTGTCTCATACTTTCAAGTGACTTGACGAGACTTTTGTCGATTTCTTAGAATCATTAAGAAGTTAGATTTAAAGGCGATGAATATTTTAAACAAGCTTCTGTTTAATTTTGTTTGTTGAAGGTATGGAGAGCCTCGACAAAACTTATACGGTTTTATCTAATTTAATATTGTATCTCAGAAAAGCTAAAACAACTTTTTACCTCTTATATGTACGTAAGATTCTAGACAAGTCTACAGCTGGCAAGGTCAAGGCCGAGGGTTGCCAGGCGACAAGTAATCAACAAACCGTCTGTCATGCCCACGGTGAATATTCTGAACTTTCTGAATAAAGCATGACGAGACTCTAACACCATTATCACCACTTAGTTACCAACACCACATTGGGCGCCAAATTGTGTTTTTAAACTTAGTATTTCTTTCACTTTGAATACAAAAGAACTTTTGGTTGAAAGGAAAATTAATGCGAATCGGAAGCTAACTACCGCACAATAACGCTAGGAAAACTTCGATTCAAAATATCCTACTCTATTTTCTATTGTTAAAAACAATCCACAACCTTTAAAATAACTATACACATTTCAAGGTTGTGCGTGTCAGTTATAGGAGTGGTTAAATGTATTCAGTGTCACCTAATATTGTTTAAGTGATTATTGTTAAGCATTTTGAATTATTAATGCTAATGCTGAATATAAACTTTGTATAGAGAATGTGATTTTTCTCTTGAAACAGTCTTATTTATTTGGGACTTAACGAAGAGCGAAAGGTTTGTTTCTTACAGAAACCTTTTCAGGGTAACAATACATTGGAAACGCTTTGTCTCCCTGCAATCAATAGGTACATTGGGAATCTTAAGGCGGTCTTTGACCTTTGAAAGAGTTAGGTGAACGTGGCCAAATGTTGATGAAGGGTTTTGTTGTAGTTATCCTCGACGCTGTCGGCACAACTGTCGGGTTGTTGGGTGGGGTCTAATCAAATGCTTCAAACGATTTTATCTTCATGCGATTTTGCCTCTTGAAACAATGGGTGTTGGGTGAAACTGGTAAAATGCTGATAATGTTCATTGTTGCAGGCATATCATCACTGTCAGGCTGCGGGCCTAATCTCATGATTAGGCGCACAGCCTGACAGTCGGCATGACATGAGATGAGAGCATTAGCTTCAGACGATTTTCTTTTCTTACAATTTTTTTTGGTTGTTGGGTGAAAGTGGCCAAATGCTGACGATATGCATTGTTGCAGGCATCTCGACGCTGTCGGGCTGCGGATCGCCTGAGCAGCTGGAAGGACTGCCGGAGCTGCCGCCGGCGGAGGAGCGCCGCCTCAAGCGCGCCGCGCTGGTGCTGCAGCAGCGCCTCGTGTTGCGCCAGTGGCTCGCCACGCACCGCCTGCAGCACGCCTACACCAAGTGAGTCACGTACGGAGCGCTGGAGGGGCTCCGGAGCTGCCGCCGGCGGAGGAGCGCCGCCTCAAAAATCAAAAAAATCAAAAAATCAAAATCAAAAATATTTATTCAGTTTAGACCACAAGTGGCACTTATGAGCGCACGAACCTCAAGCGCGCCGCGCTCGCCACGCACCGCCTGCAGCACGCCTACACCAAGTGAGTCATAAACTTCTACGGAGGAATAACACAGGAACCCTTTACACAAAAAAAAGCCGCAGTGAAACCCTGTAACAGAACCGGAGCCAGAGGGTTTGTAGGTTTGTATAGGTACACGAGCATTGGCCACGCAATTCATGGAGGCTACATAACTGGGGTACCCAAATGATGTGTCCGACTAACGCATCAGACTTCGGCCTCTAGGTCCTGGTTATGATGAGTAACTACTTACTGCGAATAATAAAAATAACGATCTTTCATCGTCTACTGTTTTAAAGGCAGATCTCGCACTCTTCTATTTTATAAATTACAGCTATTTCATTCTACGAAAAACGAATCAAGGGCTCTAGTCTACTTTCTAACTTGTTGCCAAACTAAACTGGATTTGATTGACCGCTACAGGAGGATTAAAGCTGGGTATTTTCAAATATCTGTGGAGTAATAGTAATGGTACACTAGTTACTAAATAATCCTATACATTGAAACATTAAAGTAACTGAAGCTTAACAGATTTGCATTTAAACTGAAGTAATAAAAGTCTCACACATATCAACACTCGCCCTATCTGTGTCAAATATTCACAGAGGGGCTGAAAACCTCTGATGAAATGAGCACCCAAAATTGAGAAACCTGCAATATGTTTCCCTCGCCTCAAATGAATCTGAAAATATTGACGTCGGCTGCCGCGAGTGTGCGTTACCATAACATTATTCATTCAATTCGAAAAGTAATGCGAATGTGCGAGAATTGGGAACATGGCGCCCAACATGGTGTTGTTATCGATGTCTATTGTGTTGTCAGGCGTCGTTTCTATTCGTGAGTACACGATCGTAGCAGTAAATATTACTTATGTATGAATCTGAGCGTTGGCATTTCAGTTGGGAATCGGATCATGTCTGAGAGCGTTCAATGCTGTCATACTAGATTACAGTCGGAATCTATTTAGAGCCAGAGATCCGTCTAACTAAACCACTTTACGATCGTAGGTAAAAGCCAAACCATATCCTGATGGTCGTGGTTTAAAGCAAATTTAATCTCGGTTATTGATTTTGAAATGACGTTCAATTTCACCGCGGAACTTTCAATATTCCGAGCGCCAGCTGCAACTAGATCAGGAAGGTTTAATGAAGTCTACACTTTGTGAGCAATATCTAGTTGTTCATATGGAAGTTGTGTGATGTATAACAAGTTCGCAACACATTTAAAAATGAAATCACACTGAAGCTTGATATGGCCATTCTTAGGTTTTTTCAGTTGTAAGCATATACATACGACCTTCACGAGGGTTGAATTTTCAAAATGAAATTACAAGAATATTTGCAGATATTAATCCCAACCCAGCCGGCCAGTAAAAAATTTACGAAAGAAATACAATCACGTTTCACTCACAGTTTAACGAGCTCAACCGTTTTGGTATTCATTGCTTCCCCCGCTTCATAACAGCAGCATTGAAATCTTTATCTTATGGTCCCGATACGGGGGTGGGTTCTTTGTGTTATTTTTAGGTACATTCTGGTGCTAACAAGCACTTATCTGCCGGGCTAGGAACAAAGGCTCCATCAATAACGTCTCACCTGGCCATACGTCGGCAACTAGGTCATCGGGTCGCTGCGGCTCCCCTTTCGATGCTATTTTCATTAAAACGCTCGGCCATTATCTGCGGGATGCCGTGCTGCAGCTACTGGTTTAATATAAAACGCTTTTAATTTAGTGATAAAATGCTAATGAAAGCGGTTCGTTTGATACTTACCTTCAAATCGGGAATTAAATGACTTACTTTGTGATGATGTGATGGCAACTTTATTTACACTGTTGCACTGTAAGTACGTTATGTTTTCCTTGTTTGGGGAAAAAGTAGCGCCATTGTCACATGTCAGTAGCCGTTATCATTTGCAATAATGTATTAACTTTCCTAAATCAAGCGAAATAACTTGTATTACTTTTGTTTGGGCCTATAAGGATTATATTTTATTCACCACGATGTATTATGTAGGTGTTACTAGCTAGCTAGATACTAGCTTAGCAAGCAAGCACCGACTGATACCTATCGTAATCATTCAAGTTATTTCTCAACCTATCCGATAAATGCCGGGTCCACTTGAAAATAGTGTCAGGTTCTGTAATCCAGGTGCATTTTCAGAGCACATTAAGTCCCAGTTGCGCCGTTTATGGCAGTTTTATTTATGGCCTATAAATGAAACTGTCATAATCGGCGCGATAGGCAGCGTTTGATTTCCGAGCTGAAAGCGCAGTTTCACGTCGCCCCTAGTTGACATAAATGCTGCGCGCTTCATTGGATTGGCAACTGCACGAAAAGTTATGTCCCGGGAAATTTATGACACTTTTTATTTTATTCTCTACTAAAAATTTTCCCTTTTTTGGTATGAATAAACCGGAAAATGGTTCCGTAAAATGTTTTATCACTGGTTACTATTTTTCCTGATTTACTTATTCTGTAGTTCTAGATTTTTCGCAGGCTAGGCAATAAGTTTCTTGAAATAGGGTTGTAATAATGTTTGCGTGCTGTGTAGAAAGTTTGGCTGGACGTCGGGGTTCAATATTTGTTGTTTGAAACTTGTAACACATGGAATAAATTCAAAACTTCTCCAGATGCTATCGTCGATACGTGTGGTACTTGGCAGATACCGGCGAATCTTGGAAGTTGGAATTCTTCGAATTTTGTCAGCAAAAATTCAACCGGATCGTCGTAGCATAACATCTTATCGTCTTAGCGTTTGTCTCAGTTTGGTACCCACTACCAGTGTGCTCACTACTTCAATTCAAAGAATCTTCGCATATTTGAAGCTTTAGTTTCTTGTGCAGTGCCCCGACATAGTCTTAACTAATAATAATAGATACCAGTAGGCCTAAGATGCGCGCCGTGATAGGCCGTTATCACGCTATTTTATCGATTTTGCCCATACAAATTGACGTCGATAAAAGTTATCACGGCGCGCATCTTAGGCCTACAGGCCAGCATGAGTTCGTCGCTTTGTGCACTCCAACATTATAGTGGAATGAGTTTAGCCACTCGAACTTGTACTAAGTAGAAACTGTTCACAGTGAAAGCGCTCTTGAGTGCTCATGGAACTTGGCATTTAGAGGTTTTCCTGCCTTATAATACGAGTAAATATTATGCTCTTTATTTAAATAATCTAAGTAATCCGAACGTGGCGACTTAGCTTCAAAGAGTGAAGATATGTACAAAATTACGTTTTGTAGAGAAAGAGAAAAGTATTTTGCTAACAAGAGCTGCATAGCAAAACTCTTTTCTAGTTCTTATCTACTAGCCAGATTTTTTTGCTGCGTAAGAATATTTTGGAAGTAAAGATTGTCCATAATTTACGAGTAAGTACTTTTGAAAAGGCTACTTTTTCATAATGATTCAGAGTTTGACTTTTTAGTCCGAGCTGGCCGCCACCGTCGTTTTGCTCTACTTTTTCAGTCAGGTGGAAATGCTTGCAAGAAAGTAATCAAAAGGCAATGTTGAAATCTGCTGGTTTGATCAGATTCCAGCTTTAATTTTTAAACGGTAAAAGCAGATTGCGTTTACCGAATCCCCTTTAAGTACGTGGGGCTAATCGCGCTGTGCAAATTGTCGACCGTCCGCAAACACGCCGTATTGGAGAGCTGTTTGCTTCTCTCTGTTTGAACAGTTCCGTTTGAGCTCTTTCACTGAGGATAAAGATCAACATAGTTGCATGTAAATGGACCATAATGCAATAAAATTGTGGAACTGTATTTATTTAAAACTGTGCTTTAGATTAGAGTTTTAGAGTCAGCGAAGTTTCAAGGTACTATAGGTCCCCTCAAAATGCCAGGTGGAGAAAATGGTATGTACGAGTACTTCTATCTAATCTATCTAACATACCGCATTTTCCCGTTTTTGTTTCAGCAGTTTTATTACATCGTGTGTTATTTCTTAGAAGTAGTTCTTTTTCGCTGCGAGATTATTTCTGTCACTCTGAATAGTAGTGCCTGTCTTCTATCAACGTCGATGCAGACGCTGCTAGTGTTGTGCCGTAATAAATGTTCGCTGCGAGGTTCGCGCGCGTTGAGCATTCAATTTGGAGTAACTCGGGCGGCAATAATCCACCAGCGCGAACGAATTTCAACTTGATTGACATGAAAGCAAATCCTTCTCAGTAGCGGCGTAAGGGGGGGGGCGGTGGGGGCGGTCCGCCCCGGGTGCCAAGCATCAGGGGGTGACACAAGTCGCGCAGATTAGTACTCACTGGCACATCTGCATGGCAAATCTGCGGTCTATGTCATGATTGGCTTTCAATCTTCGAATCGGTAGGTAACCCCAAAATCCTGGGGGGTACCAGGGGGTGCCATAGGACTTGTGACGGGGGGGGGGGGGGGGGGNGCTACGCCGCCACTGATCCTTCTTTCACTGACAGTGATTACGTATTGTCCGCTTTTGCATGCTCGCGTGCGATGCTGGTGAATATTGTAGCATAAGGAATACACGTTGCTATATTTTTTTACGTTCTAGACTAGCATATTCCTCAAGAAGATATTTTAACATTCAAATATTGGTCTTTGATATTAAAGTTTGCTTAGAACACACAAGTGAGTGCTAGTTCTGTGCTAGCAAGCTGTTTGTTTGCTTCCGTGAGGGGTGTACTCGACACTCGCACTTAGTTTACAAATGTTAGAAGCCACACTGTTTGAGCTTATCACACATAGTTCCTCAGTTGCTTACAGCCCGTATATGGATGGTACTTATTTACACTAGGTACTATCGGGGACTCTTCCGCCTGACCACTTTGTAGAAATTTTAGCGTAAGCGCATCGCTCCGGTCACGTGCTCACCCCGTCTCTAATTGGTTACGCATTTTACTATATTTTTACTACGACCAATAAGAGACAATCAGGGCTTAGGTTGCAATACGAAATACCATTGTGCACTTTATTGTCATACGGTTAAGGTTAAAAACGAAATGTTTCTTTTTCTTCAATCTTTCTTAGTTTTAGGCTGAGTTGCACCACCTAACTTTGACCGTAACTATAAATAGAAACCTATTATAGGTTTTTATTTACATTCAAGGATTTAAGAAAGTTATTATGTAGCCAGATCTTACAATAATTGTTTTTAAGCCACAAATATTCCTTAACTCTTTACTAATTAATTCAATAACATATTGTTTATAAATTATAAGTTCCGAATAAATTAAATACCTATTAAATAAGTAAAATTCGAAAGTAACTGTATGATTTTGTATTTCTCGCCTTAACTAGCTAAACCGCTAGTTCAAATTTTACACGAAGCCCCATATAATATTTTGTAGCGATTCTTTACTGGGTTCCAAATTGACTAAAATGCGACGTTGCCAAACGAGCGCTACGGATGCGGGTAATAAGCAATACTCAATCCTAAACGCTTTACATAGAGCTTGGTTTGCTAGGGCAAACATCTACAGTGGTGCGCCGACGCTGCTTAGATCCGAAACATGAATGAAGGGGGCGTAGCATAATCGAGCGTGTGTGTGCAAACAATTTAGGCCCTTAAGGTGTCAAGGCGTCCGAGTCCCCGATAGTACATCAGACCGTGCCCTCTTTTGGTGACATCGCTGAAGTGTTGTACACTTGCTAATGTACGTAGAGCCGTAGTTGGAACGGATTAGTTCATCGTGATAAAACATAGTTCCCAGGGGTGTGCAAAATAAAACGAAGCATCAGAATTGTACAGACAAGGTACAGATGAATTTTGAAACAAAACTGGACGGTGCCAAAATTTTTTTGTGCAAATTGTTTGTCATTAGAGGACGATGTTAATTTCTGTCGATACACAATGGCGCTGCGGTACTCTGCGGCACTTTTACTGAGATCGTTATCCTGTGTTTCGACACAGTGCGGTGCATGCATAATGCCGGCACTTCGCCGCGTGCACAGCGCCGTAGGCTCGGCCTTTGAAAGCCATTAACAAAAATTATTCACAAAGCCATCGTTTTCCTGCTGCTGCTCGTTTAAGGACGATGACTAGATCTGGCATCCATCTGTAGCTTTGCTCTTGGTGATTGCTGTTATACAGGGTGTCCCAAAAAGTAGTGTCAAGCCGAAGCCCAGAGGTAGAGCATCACCAGGGCGTATCTAAAGATTTCATGCGAAGATAGCTCCACAGGTTAACCAAGATATCTTATTCAAATGGCAAGATACTTGGTTGATTTGTTAAATTGTTTTAATTGCGAATAACGAAACCTAGTGCACATTGGAGGTTATATTTGTTCATGAAAAGTTTGTGTTCAATACAATTCCATCGGATGTGATAATACTTCAATGTCACGGCCGCTTTGGGGCGCAATATGAAATGTTCCCGAAACGACAGTTCAGCGCAGTCACGGACATGATGTATGATGCCGGTAATGGATTGCGCAGGCCTGATTCATTTCTACTACTTATTTGTACATTACTTCAGCTTCGAAAAGCACAAGAATTTATCTGTGCAATAATCGGCACATTAGGCTATGAAATAGAGTTTATGTACCTAGAGGATGATTAGTAAAATCATTTTACTAATCATCCTCTAGGTACATCATTCTGTTTGAGAATCATTTTACTAAAATGCCTCTAAAGAAGTCTGCTCTTTCTTGTATTATTCAAGCCTGAAATTCATATCACGATGGAAGCAACTGTCAAATGTTGCCTATAAAACAAGCTCTATCTCGATCACTTTTCGTTGCACGAGGTGGTCGCTTGTTGCCTTTGGCACGGTTCCATAACCACCAGCGCTATGTCAGATGTCATGAATACTCATATCAGCATAGTAACTGCCTTGTAACAGTGTCTAATAGGTGTTACGTTTGTTTTTTTAATATAATATAACGTTTGTTTATTTCATAGCATTTGCATTGAATTTGTAATAAAGCAGTATGTAGAGCTAGGCAATAAGGATTTCTTCTCAGTTTTAATACACCGTTTTTTTTAATCCACAATGAGGAAACTCTTGGCCTGTATCTCACCTGATGGTAAGTGATGATCAGGCCGAAGATCACCCGGAATCCTCAACCACAGATGAACTGGCTATCTTACCTCTAACTGCCGGAACGCAACAATACCGTTAACATTGTTGTTATGGCGACAGACTTAGGTAAGATGGTGGTAGCTAGCCAGGCGGACTTGGAACAAGCCCTAGCACCAACCAAACCGAACAGAAAGCTCTGCCCCCACTGGGAATCGAACCCGGGGCCTCTGCGTCTGAAGCAGGTGGTCTAACCACTAGACCACAGAGGCGGTTGAATTGATTGTTGATTGATTGATTGTCATTATTAAGTAGGAACTGCTATCGTTATAAAATTTTCTTAGCATTTTCGGCTTTTCTTAAAAACGAATAAACTAAAATATCCAGCACATCTTTCACGGAAGAGCGTTACAAAATAAGAATATGGGACCTTAAAGTTAAAAGGGCAAACCTTCGTTCACCTTAGGCTGGAGAGCGTGACGTCTCCTGCGAGTTATGCAGGCCAAGCACGCAGTTCCCGTAATCTGCCGAACTTAAGGCCGGGTAGCAGAGAAAATGGCGAAAATGAGGTTTTCATTTTTCATTTTTGAGGTACTAAACAGTAAAATTAAAGGCTAAGATTTTTATTGGGCATAGTTGAGGATATTTTCTAGGGCTATTAACGGATGGAAACACGATTTGATGAAGTTGACTCGATAGAATAAATTCCCAAAGTTACCTCTATTCGTTTTCTATTTATGGTTTTATTTTTAAAATAAGCGATTTGAGATTCTAAATCTTTTACTAAACTAAAGTTCAGAAATAACTTGAGGGCTTTTAACGGATGAAATTTTTATATTGCGTCTTATTTAGTTACTATGTTAAAAAATGTGGAAAAAATCGTCCATGACGGCTTGGACAATCTCAATCAGTCGCGCGGTGGCGCTTACGGAGGACGGACGCGTGTCAGTTTTTTGGCCGTGACAGTTCGCGATTTGTCAATATTTTTGACAATGATGACTTTGATGAGTCACAGTATAATAATATCAGTGTTACTGGAGAAAGCTTAAATTTTTGATAATTAAAAATTATCAATTTTGGCTACCTATTGAAATTTAAATCGTTCGCATCCTTTTAAACGAAGACTCTACTCATGATAAATAGTACATTCCTCAAACATGAGACAAAACCAATGAGTTAAAATTATGTACATTTTAAAAGTACCTACATACAATCGTCATACACTCTTTAGAAGAGCACACTGACACAAATCCCAACTAATATTATAAATGCGAAAGTAACTCTGTCTGTCTGTCTGTCTGTCTGTCTGTCTGTTNCCGACCTAGTGAAGATTTGGTGAAGGTCGCGGGAGGTACCTGGATGCGAGCGGCGCAGGACCAGTCTTTGGGGGAGCTAAAGAAATAGCCAAAATGGACCCTCGTAAAACACCTTCATTTGATCTGATCACCATTCAGTCCATGGTCTTGACAATGACACACTGAGTGATCCATAAGCCAGGCTTATGGATCACGCAACTTTATCTTACAAGTGACAAAATCTTCTCTTTTCAGCTGCAGAGCTGGAGTATCCCAGGTCTCTGTACTTGGTCCGGTACTCTATAACATTTTTACTATTAAAGTAGCCCAGACACCAGAAAGCTGCGGCTTTCCTCAAAAATGTAACTGTGATCTTAAAGCGACTAGACTGTTGCAAAGTCAGCTAAATGCCAATAATGCTTGACTGACCAAGTGGCGCATGTAAGCAAGCCCCGAAGTCTCACCATATTATCATTTAAGACAGTGTTTTTCAACCTTTTTCACCCCTCTATAGAGGTTTCGCGACCCCCCAGGGGTTCCCGAGCCACAGGTTGAAAAACACTGATTTAAGACATCGTCAACTTATCTTCCGGCCAATCTCAAATCAAATCTCAAATCTCTCTCGACACATTGCTGCAATCAACCTGCATTAAAAACCTGGGCCGCAGAATGACATGGAAAGACCATAAATGTAAATAAAACAGATCTGAACAATAATATTATGGCATCTATGGCATCTAATTTTGGTCGACCGTGTGTTTGTGTGCTTAACTGTGTGCCTCCAAAGAGCACAAAAATACATGTTAAGGGCACATTGGTACGCTCCTGAAAACCTGATCTCAGCCAAACCTGCTATCCAAATATCAAAGTATCTATGATCAAGAGAGCTAATTTACTACGGTAAACCACTGCTCTAGTAGCTCTACCGTGTCAAACCCCAACCAACTGCAAATCACCTGATTAGTCTTGACGACACATACTAAAAAAGCAGATTTAAAAAAAAAACCTAATGAATAAAGGTCAAACAAGGTCACGCCGCCGACGCCGCCGCCGCCGAAGTCAAAAAGTCGGCGCGCCGCCGCCGGCCAATTATATATCGGCGCCCACCTCTAATACCCACCAGCCAAGGGAGCAGTTATGTGGGGCTCAATCTGCCAAAAGGGTAGAGGTACCCGCTGAAATCCGATTGGTTATTCAAAACGTCTCCTTTCGTTTCCTCTCCTCTCCGTTTTGGTGGATATCATGCTTGTTATTTCTCACTCACCCAGCGTGAATCCCATATCTTCAGCGTGCGCGCGGCGCGCTAAAGCCTGTCCCTCTAGTAGCGCGCGCGCTTCAAACTGCGGCGCTAAGCGGTCAATAGCGCGCCCGTTCGCGTCCCGAAGCCAGCGGCCCGGCGCCGCCCGTGGGACTATTTCCGCGGTGTCAAAGTACACGCCTGAGGGACAAATAAACACCAAGTCGAAAATTAAATCTTTGAGTGAAGTTACTGAACTTTTAAGGCTCGAACTCGGAGAGAGGACAGTAATGATGATACAAATAGGCTTCGCGTCAGACTCTGAGGGTTCGTTCGAGAGCTCAGAAGACTCAAGAGCCAGCAATCTACCAACACGCTTGACTTATGAGGTAGAGTTTAATTTGACCTTTTAATGTTCTTTTAAGAAATCACGCTGATACTATCGAAGTTTGTTATCATTATCATTGAAGGCAACCCAACTAAGTCCGGCCAGCCTATCGCGGTGGTTCTGCCTCGTCAGCGAGCCGTTAGCGAAGCACAGTAGGGCCATGTAGGGGGCATCGTGTTTGGGCCCTATTAGGACGTGCCCCGCCGCAAGAAGCGCGGTATTTTTCTATAGCTCCTAAATTAAGACTCACCCATATATCCCATGTTGCCTCTAACAGTCGCTCTTAACAAATCATTGAACGCATCCCAGCTGGGTCCAGCCAAGCGATCGCGGTGGTTCTGCCTCGTCAGCGAGCCGTTAGCGAAGCACAGTAGGGCCATGTAGGGGGCATCGTGCGTGGGCCCCACGAGGACGTGTCCCGCGGAGGGTACGACGCTAATATTTCTATAGCTGCTGAGTTATAACTCACCCATATATCCCATGTTGCCTCTAACAGTCGCCTTTAGTAAGTCATTAAACTAGGACATGCCCCGCAAGAATCGCGGTTTTTTTCTATAGCTACTAAATTATGACTCACCCATATATCCCATGTTGCCTCTAACAGTCGCCTTTAGTAAGTCATTAAACGCATCCCAGCTGGGACCAGCCAAGCGATCGCGGTGGTTCTGCCTCGTCAGCGAGCCGTTAGCGAAGCACAGTAGGGCCATGTAGGGGGCATCGTGAGTGGGCCCTATTAGGACGTGCCCCGAAAGAAGCGCGGTAATTTCTCTAGCTACTTAATTACGACTCACCCATATAACCCATGTTGCCTCTAACAGTCGCTCTTAACAAGTCATTGAACGCGTCCCAGCTGGGTCCAGCCAAGCGATCGCGGTGGTTCTGCCTCGTCAGCGAGCCGTTAGCGAAGCACAGTAGGGCCATGTAGGGGGCATCGTGCGTGGGCCCCACGAGCACGTGTCCCGCGGGGGGCGCGGCGGGCGCGGGGAGCCCGAGCAGCAGCGTGTCGCTGGTGCCCAGGCTGAGACCCACCCAGCCGATGCGGAGGCGAAGACCTGTGGAGTAAAATTTTGCATGTATTTTTCTCTTAAGTGCTCATAATTACATTCATTACAAGGCGTCCACAGAAAATCTGTGTCCAGCCACAAAATCAACGTATAGATTATAATAGACTACGCTTTATTTGGCACAGAACAAAAAAAAACAAAATCTCGTGCTAAGAAGGACGCGTCAGTATCATTATCCAGCCAACTGGTTTTTGCATGAATTTTGCAACATTATGAAGTTTCATACAAACTTTCAATCAGTATTACGAGTATAACCCTTGAGGAATGACTCCAAAAATCCCTTCTTGGCACTATTTACGTTTTTTAATGCTTCTAGATTCTAGAGCATTTTCATTTCCTCTAAGTTTTCTAATACGAAATCGCGGTTCAAAGCAAATTATTAAGATTGTACAAAAATCACATCTAAAGAGTTATTATTTTATTATCAAACATCTCAGTATTGTAAACACAATCATACAAGATAAGCGAATCAAACGCTGTCACATTACATCGCCTTAATCTCGTGTGCTGCCAGTTAGATATCTTATCGCGAAATTGTTTTTTGACGACTTGTAAACCTTAGCCCTCTTGAGTTATCTGCTAAGATAACTCCCAGATAAATATTTATTTAGATATTCGCGAAGTATATTACTAAGATTGTATGCTTATTTACTTTGCCAATATACATTAACATACATATTTCGTAAGTGTCAGTGTTTTATGGGAATACTTTGGTCTGACGTCCAATCAAGCCACGGTAGCAGATTCTTTAGAAGATTGTCCAATATACAGTTATGTATTGGGATGTTTAGACCCAATCCTCTATTTGCTTCTGATGAATTAGAGCCATCCTCCTGTGCTGTATATTTGTATAAAAAAAGTAAAAGCCAAAGCACACGATGAGTTGCAGCGCCGCACCGCAAAGATTTCGTCGCACCGCTCCTGTGCCCGCTACAGATTTCTATGGAAGACGACGCAGCGACACTGCTCCGGCGTCGCACCGCCGCCGCAACGCATCGTATGCTTTACTCTTAGTTTATACCCGTTTCTTTGGGGCTACATTACAGTGTAGTTACACTTGGACAGTTGTCCAGCTATTTATTTATTATTAGCAGCCGCCCGCGACTTCGTACGCGTGGATCCCGCTTTACCCCTTTAGGAGTTGAATTTTGCAAAATCCCGTCTTAGTGAACACCTACGTTCTAAAAATTTGAGACTCCTAGCACTTGAAGTTTCTGAGATTTCGTGATGAGTGAGTCAGTCAATCAGTGACCTTTCGCTTTCATAGATATAGATTACCTGCTAACGCAGAGCAGTTGTCTCCAGTAAAGGCGACCACTCTGCAGTCGGCGCGGAAGCCGTAGCGCGCCACGAAGTATGGCGAGATGACGCCCAGGTCGCTAGCAGTCGCTATCGGCTCGCCTAGCTTCTGGGCCAGGGTCTCGTCTCCGCATGCCTGGAAATAAAGTGTCGAGTTTACCAGGTTGCTATATGAGCTTAAGTGGATGACGAAAGTGTGGGCGCTGCAGGCTTAAAGGGGGGCGGTAAGAGACCCAGAAAAAAATCGGGACGTTGTGTAGAGGCTTGGGAGGCCTTCATCTACTAGGAGGACTCTTAGACATCGACTGAGCTCGACTCTTGACCACAAAAATGGGGGGCGCTAAAAATAAATTATTCTCAAAGTGGGCAGTAGACTAAATAAGTTTGGGATGCTAAATGATGGTTAACTGAGGCAAACTGGAGCATATCGGTTGAATGAGACAGTTTCAGGAAACGTAGTGACAAGATGCGCACTAGCTTGATGGACCGGCGACCTTAAGAAGATAGTTAGCAACGGATTGATGAAAAAAGCGGGAGATTAGATACTTAAGTTAGATCATAAATATATGATAAATATTGTAGAAAGTTTTAGTGCAGTTGGTGGCTCGCAACCGCATGTCTCCTGCGAGGGGTCAACTTGCCTTTTTACTTCTGGATTCAAGTTATACAAGAATACAAAAGCGTTAACTTAAACTACCAGTTCATAAATAACACCTACCTTCAAAGCCTTCTCGTCCCACTTCAAAGAGTGTATATCGAGCAGATTCATCCCGGAGCCGTCCGACAAGTCGATGGGAGCGATACGCCCCAGGAACAGGGAGCAGGCGAAGGAAGACACCAGCGAGATCCGCGTCGCGGCTTGATACGCTCGCGGGCGAGTGCGGAACATCTTGCGGATCTGAGCGCCAGTGAACCGCTCGTATGCGCGAGACCCCGTTAATTTGGCCAGCTCCTGGAAACGAAGAGTCTTTTAAGAAATAGATACACCATAGAGATCCGCGTCGCAGCTTATACGCTCGCGGCCGCGTGCGGAACATCTTGCGGATCTGGGCGCCCGTGAACCGCTCGTATGCGCGAGACCCCGTTAATTTGGCCAGCTCCTGGAAACGAAGAGTCTTTTAAGAAATAAATACACCATAGAGATCCGCGTCGCAGCTTTATACGCTCGCGGCCGCGTGCGGAACATCTTGCGGATCTGGGCGCCCGTGAACCGCTCGTATGCGCGAGACCCCGTTAATTTGGCCAGCTCCTGGATAAGAATGAAAGTATTTTATTATGTACATCAGTGAAATCCGCGTCGCGGCTTGATACGCCCGTGGACAAGTGCGGAACATCTTGCGGATCTAAGCGCCCGTGAACCGCTGGTATGCGTGAGCCTGTTAATTTGGCCAGTTCCTGGGTGGGAATAGAAAAGTTTTGGTGAGAATAAACGAGATTTGATCTGTATAAAATCTCGTTTATTCTCACCAAAACTAGAACACGCACAGAGAGACCCGCATTCTGAGCATCTCTGCGCTCGTGACGTGAACCGATGGCAATTTTGAAATGGTTATTTTGGCCATTTCCTAGGTATAGAAGAATAATTTATGTAACACTCGAAAGACTGCCACGAGATCTGCTATCTCACTCACCATATCCCGAAGCGGTTGGTGGGCTCAAAATTATTGTATTGTGTAAAGTTTTTTACGAACCTAATTGCAAAAAATGAACGACTTTTTAGTTAGCCTTGAACGAATTCTAAAGGTAACACATTGCGAATTATAAAAAAGAGTAAATGAACTCAGTTTTTGTCGTATAGAATTTTCTGTTATTATAAATTCATGTGCACGGAACTGAGCTGCAATCTGCAAAATTAAAGCGGTACTCGAGAGAAAGCACTTTAGCCTACTTAAAAAAATAAACGATTCTGGTATTATAGGTGTACCAGAATCTCATGGCAAATGGGGAAAATAAACTTTGTTGAGTGCAATACTGGGGAAATTGGATTAAACGATCTTGATACTGTTTAATTTTTATTTATGACTAATAATAATGAACATGAAGTACGAATGCCTACCTATACATTTTAGGTATGTGTATGAAGAATGTTGTTATACATCGGGTTTTTAACATAGGAACATGTCTTGAAAAATAAGTAAACCGTATATTACTGTAAATAATTTTATTAAGTATCATTACTTATAACTTATTACTTCATTCAGAACTAGAAAACGATTCTAAGAACTCCACTTGCATTTCTTGTTCTTCAGATAGATGATCAAGTTAAAGAGGTATTAATATAATATAAATCGCTTTTTCAGCATTTCAATTACTCAAACTTGCTTGATGAAATCTTTTTCAATTTTCTTTACATGGTCATAATATTTTCACCATTCCTCTGCACCAATGCATGAAATACACCTGAAAACCCCGATAAAGCAGCTATTAGGTAAGAATAATATAAAAATAAACATAACCCTCCTTCTGACGCAGTTAGGTAATAAACTAAATGTAGGTAAGTATCAAAACATTTCACTCCAACTTACTGTCAACTCAACGACGCGCATTAAAATCAAAGATTGACTTTGAATTATGCCTTATTTTACAATACTCTTTGAAAACAATATGACTTGCTTGAGTTTTTTCGTCTTTTTCACAAAAATAACAAATAGGCATGAAGAGATTACAAAATTTCTGCAGCGGCTGACAGATCTCTTGATTTACTTTGACAGGTGACAGTAAAGCCATAGACAATGGCCATATGAAAAACACACTTTTCCAATATTTTTGTTTGCCATGAGATTCTGGTACACCTATAGTAATGTGAGCTAGAAACGAGAAATTACCTGCAATGCTCCATTGCACCTCGTTTGTATTGATCTCGTTAACAATTATTGTGATACTAATAGAATTATTTTATTAGGCTTATAAAACTAGAGAATAACACAGATTAAATTAGAACGTGGAAATGTACTACCTACCTGCTAAATTCTATTAACAATGTTTTTGTCTTTCCTATTCGGATGCATTTTGTATGTTTTTCTTTAATATTCTGGAGCCAGTGTGGCTACATGGG